AGCAGACCTTCTACTCCTAAACACTGTAGAATTATTTAACTTTAGGAAGCACTTGTGCTGCTGTTATCTATATTGCTTTCTTTTTTTTTCTTCCTTGCTTTCCACCTCCCATCCCCAGGTGTTTCTAATAGCAATTACTCTTTTTCAAAATCTGATTTCCAGGAATAGGAATGTGGAATAAAAGCATATCCTCTGCAAGCTTTTCTGAGGTGGCTTCAACAATTCCAGAGGAAAGACAATCTTCTATTGAGTAGCAGCTCAAACATTTGAAAATACCAAACCCAAGGAGATGTATCCAAAAGGAAAACAGGAATCCAGTTTTCCTGAGATCTCCATCAGAAAGCAGCAGAGGAATGTGGCTCTCCATCTTTGCAGGACATGGTTGACAAGGTAAGTAGTTTGGACATGATAAAAGCATGAGTTGTTAAGCAGTTCCTAAGGACAGTAGTGTAGATGATGCAAGACTATCCCTTTCGGACTTTTCTACAGAGCACTAGTGGGAATATAAATGATTTCTCCCTTCCCAGAGAGCTTCTTGTTATGAATTCCAAGGCTCACAGAGATGGGCCTGAAGATCATGTTTCCTGCATTTAGAAAGGGGAGTTAACTGGTGTTTGAATCAGATTTCTTTTGGCTGTAGTTCTGGTCTGGTCTTAAAACATAAATCAAACAAGGACTGTTATCGTAATGTATTAAGTTATATGTAGGGTTAATTGGGAACAATTTTAGAAAATGATGGATCCTGTTCCTACTTTGTCTACCCAGTCTTCCTGGAATTTCTGATTTAGCATCTTGACATTTTCCCCTGTTTTTTAAGCCTTTCAAATATTCTTCTTCGGTTGGGTATAGTTTTTAAAATTTCTGATATGCTTGTCTCAGCTGTGTCAATGCACAAAGGAAATAATCCTTGATCTTTCTGGAGAGCCTATCCCAGCTAAGAAGATAAGTTGTGTCTGGGATCAAGTGTTCATGCTACAGCTGTCCAGACGAGCTGATTGGTGACATCATGCCTTCTCTCTGAAGCTTGTAACTTACAGTTATTTCTCTCATTATTAGCCTCTTATAATTCCTCTGCCTCTCAACACTGCCTAATTGTACACTGGACTGGCTTTTCAGCCAGTACTTTTAGCTTTATTCTGACTGCAGGGTCATCATCTAATTTAACCAAAAGTACTTTTAGTACAGTTATACATTTGCTTGTCTTTGGAACACAGTTTTTATAGAAACAAAACAACAACAACAACAAAAAAAACCAAACCAAACAAAATAAAAAAAAAAAGGACAAAGAATAACTTATAAGATGTCAGTGCTCTAAAACACTTGATGAACGATATGGTATTTGAATGATGAATGATATTTGTTTGCTTGAATTCAGAGGTTATTATTTTGTTTCTTTTTCTTGTCTTTCAGTAGGCAATGTGTACTGATATTCTTCAAACAGTACATATTGTCCTGTAAATAACACTGTTGTGCCTGTAGGGTAAATTTTCCTGGTTCTTTGTGTTTTGTTGAGGTAAACAGAAGACTTACACTTTTTTCACTTGATGGAAAATTCATTTTAATTATTCTACCTTAACTTGGATTGTCAGTTTAAATTCACCTGCTGAGTGCTATCAACTGGTGCTGGCCTCTGTATTCATGCTTGAAGATGTCTGTATTCATTACTGGATTTCTTTAGCTTAACAAAACTTAGAATCAAATGCAACCCACAAAGCAAGCATTTATGCATTGAGAGCTTTTGCTGCTGAATGAAAGTATTGTTTCATGCATTAACAGTCCAGTCTGATTATGGAACTCTTTCTCTTTCTGGTGGGAACCACTGTAAGAATAACATCATTACCATCTGTGTCCTCAGCAGAGACTTCATATCTGAACGTTTAGCATTTCAAGAATCCTACAGATGTTGCTATTGCGTTATTCATTTAGTGAGAGACTGCCACAGCTGTGTACATTCCTGTATACTCTTTCAAACAATCTGGCAGCAGACTCTAATTTGAGCAGTGCAGGATATGTACTGCAGTTTTCATGGGTATTATTCTGATATATAGGAATTGTGCCTGGTAAACTTACATCTCTGAAGAAGCAAAGCAAAATATTATCACTGTACATGGTCAGTTTCAGAAGTCCAGTGATGATTTAATGCATTGAAAATGAACATGCTTCTTGTACATTTGAATGGTCTTGTGGTAGTAAAATCACCTACAAGAACCCTTTCTAAGCTATCCGTTAATTTGTCAATCAATAGATTGATAGGGTGAAAGAAGTGAATTAACAAAGAAAGCAAGAGAAATGGTGAAGGAAATGGAAGGAGTGAAATGGGGGAAAAAAGAAGGGAAAAGATGGAGGAAATAAAAGAGAATGTGAAATACAGTGTGTGTGGAAAAACTGAAAAGAGGGCAGCAAAACAGAGCAGAGACAAAATGAAAACGGAGAGAATAAAAATGAAAGGAAAGAACTAAGCAAATAGTTGTTAAATTATGGAAAGAATAATACAATCTGAATTAGCTACTATAAAGTGTATCAGATCTAATACCAGTTCTAAAATGTTTTCTGTGAGTAAGTGGTTAATACCTTGGTTCAGCTGTGACTGCACAACAAAAAGTAAAGAGGATTGGAATCGAAATTGCCGAATATCCTTTGAATAAGATTCTTCCCCAGGAATCTGCAGAAATAGGTACAAAGCTCAGTTTATATCTACACATAGAGACTGATATTGGAAGTTATTCAATTGCTTGAAAGCAGTTTGTTTTCATAGCTTCTGACTGGGCAGCCAAATTGGAAGAAGATCCACAAGGCTCACTAAAAAGACTTTAAATCCACAGCAGTGTGTCTGCAAGTGAAAACTGACCTTACTTCAGAGATGTCTTAAGGAAAGTGGGCTGATACTTTCTGAATTCTAGGGAGCTTGTTCTCCTTTTTATTCACTAGTTAAATGTTAATCATAAAAACTTAACAAGTTCAAATGTGAACGTTGAGTGATTTCTTTGCATAATCTGTGCGAATAAAGATCAAAGTCAGAACGTCCTCATTGTTCTGGGTCTCGCTGAGAGACAGCAATTGAAATCAATGCTCAAAACGTAATGAAAATGTAAGTCAGAATAATCACCTCTGTTGCTGACACCTAAATTAACTATCTCAGTGTGGAAAATATTTATCCCATCTAACATGGCAAAGCAGCAGCTTTTGCTTGGCAAACACAGAATAGACAGATTGTAGTAACATGAGTTTTGTGGGCAAGGGAATGCCCGTAACTTTTTATTTCTGTGTCAGTCTTAAAGTTTCCTTCATTTTATCTTCCCTGCAATGTGTAATCAATGTGGGAGAGGAGAGCCATCTTCAGTTCAAATCAGTAATCAGCAGGTCTTAAGGCGTATGGTCAACAATCTCTTCTTTATCTCCCCAAAAAGAACAGGAGGGCTTTTCTCTACTCGTATAGTGGAAATCTCTTACTCCTTTGTTCTTATATTTCTCCTGTTCTTAGGGAAGCTGCTGTAGGTTGTTTATTGCTGGATAAGAAGAAAAAGCATTTGTTGCTGGGCATGACATATCCATATTCACTTATTCTTGTTGGTTCTCCTATGGCACCTGGGTGCGTAGACAATGTGAGTGGCGACTTGTGCTGTGCTTGGTATTGAAGTTCACTCACTTGCAGGGAATTCTACTTACTTTTTCGACCTTTATCTGATGAGATGAAGACCCTGGGATCTTAATGTCACTGAATCCTCACTCTAGGGCTCTGAAGAGAAAGCTCAATGTCATCATCCTACACTACTGTGCAAATTTTATAATCTTCTTGGGCTAGACTCATTGAATAGTACCTCGTGATAATTACAGAGGAGGACGGCACTATTTTAGATCTTCACTGACCCTTTTGGATTGGTTTAATAAAGCCCTCACTTCTCAGATGCAATCTACTTGGCATAACAGAGCTTGTCTAGAGCAAAATTTAATGTATATTGGGACAGGTGTAAGAAAACAGCTAAGAAAAAAGAAAACTGTTTGGTGCCCGGTAACAGCCATGCAAGTAGAGTTTAGTTCTCATGAAGAACCAGAGAAACAGTAGTTTGTCAACAGTGCATAGAATAGTTTGATAACATCAGCAGTTTTCACTTCATACTCTGAGTCCTCTTTGTATTAATCAGATGAAATACAAAAGGGAGACAAAATTATCTGTAGTATTCTGCATTACTGCACACAGACAAAAAACAAAAACAAAAAAACCACTTCAGTTATGTTTAGAGGAATGGAATTGCTGAAATAATAAAAAGCATGGAAAAAAGTAAAATCAAGTGTACATTCATTTTTGATGTAAGAACATTCAAATTTAAAACTGCAATTTAAAACTCGTAAGAGGAACCGCACCTTACACAATAATGAAATAATATCTGAAGCTCATTGCCAGGAAATATTACTTAGAGTATTCTTGGGAAATATTGGTCATTTATAACAATAACAGGAAAACTGACAGTAAAATGTATTACAAGGGCTGCTCCAAAAGTAATACCTCCCATTTTATTATGTGGTCCACGTTGTCAGACGATGATGTTGGTAGCGTGGCAGTAGAGGTTGAGCCTTCCCATTAATATCCTGTTAGATTTTGTTGCTATGCAATGGATGGCAGCTGAGGGGCATTCTGACAGAACAGTGTCTGACATAGAAGTGCAGATGAAACAAAGGTGTGTCATTTATTTCCTCCATGAGGAAAAAATGGCACCCACTAATATGCAGCAACACTGCTGAAGGTATGTGAACACAGTGAGGTGGTGAGTAGTGCCTTTTGGCAGTGGCAACAGTGGTGTGAAAGAAAAGCCACGTTCTCCTCAGCCATGCAGATGTTTACAAGTGTGACATGTGGGCTCTTGTTCATTGTTGGCAAAAATGCTTAGCTAATGGTGGTGACCATGATGAGAAGTAGTGTGCTGTAGCAAAGAATTTGCTCTATCAAATAGTGTTATTGTGCTCTTTCTATCTGTTGTAGTTTCCATGGAAGTAAGTTGGAAGCATTACTTTCAGAGCAAGCTACATGGAATGGTACTATAAGTGAATAACAAAAGTAAATCACTCAATTATGATCCAGGTAGGTCTCTCTTCACTGAAATTCTGTATCAATCTTCCTCACACAGAACCCACCACATGTATGCAGATGAGTCCTGGAAATTATGTGCTTTTCCATGAAAATTAATAAGAGACGCTTCTTTTGCAGCAACCGACATATTAGAAACATTATTTTAAGTTGATCAGATTAAGGCATACAGATCTGCCCCTTCTAAGTATTAAATGCACAATTTTGCTATGGAACATCTAGTGCTGAACAAGAGACGCAAAGAATCACCTAATCCAGAATGTACTATTGATTTCTCAAGTATAATCAGTCTAAAGACGTCCTTATAGGGGAAAAATGGGCTTCCTTAAAGCAGTGCCTTCCTTTTTCAAGATAAAAAAAAGGGCATTTAAAATTAATGTTTATAACTAAATGTTATAACTAAAGGTCTTCATCAAGTTTTTGTTGCTATTATTCCTGAAAGCAAGACTGCATTTTTTCCCTATGAATGCCATGAAGCATTAGAGCTTTGAACATAAATGCAGTGTTGTCATTCAGAAGGCATGCTCATTTCCCACCAGCATTATTATCGAGCAGTACTTTATCCAACAGCACGTTATCTGCAAACCAATGTAAAAATGAAAACATAGAATTAGATAATGTTTACCATGATTTTTTGCATCTTTTCCTGCTGCCCTTCTAAAACAATTTTTTACTGCCTTTTTTATTTTTAATATTTCTGTTCTGATTTTTAATGTTTTCCTTTTATCCTTAGCTATCCATGATTCCTTGATGAAGTCTAATTTTACCAGCATTTTGTGCAGTAACTTTTGCTGAGTTTTATTAGTCAGAAGTGTACTTTGATCTTTTCTTTACATGTCCGTACTTCTCAACATCAAACATCAAAAGTCCTGGAAGCCCTAGCAGTAAAAAAAAAAAAAAAAAAAAAAAAAAAGAATGTTTTAAGTGTCCATTGGAATTCAGGGAGCAAGTTCATTTTTCAGTTGTGACATTATGAGAAATCAAAAGTTTCAGAGCCTAAAGACAGCTGAGGTAGAGGCCAGAATGTAATATGTATGATACTCAATATAGGGCATGGGGAAACTATCTGATGCTCCGTAAGCAAGAACCCCTCAAACAACAGCAAAACAAAACTGCCAGACTGGGTGCTATGGGAAATCTGAGTGCAGTCCTATGAAAACCCTGGAAGCACTTATTTCTCAATAAGCAAATTACTAAGGATGCAGGTCTGCAAATAGGTTTGCAAACTCTACGTTCAAGTTATCCTTGTTTCTATGTGTTTTTTATCTGTTTTCAAACTGTTACTGCTTTTCCAGAGCTCACGTTGCATATGTATGAATTATGCTATCCAGAAACATGAGGAGGGCAACTGTGAGGATAATGCATTCTGAAGTTTCTGAGAACATCATTAATATGTAGTAGGATAAAATGGCCCCTATCTTGTCTTAAAAACCGAAACCCTTTCTACTTGTTTTGAAAAGATTATATTAAAAAACTAAATCTGTTCAGATCATCAGATTTTCTGATGCTATTATTCCTCAAAGTTATTTTACTTTCCTAACAGAACGTGATAGTCTGGGTCTGATTCTCAGCTGAGTTAAATTGCTGTAGCTTCACTAGAAGCAACAAAATGTTGCCAATTAGAAAGCTCTGGAGGTACTTAGGGTTATTACAACTACAATAAAGGTGCATGTTCTTACTATTATTTATACTGCAGTCACTCCCAGCTATTGTGCGTATTACCAGGCCCCAATGTGCCAGAGCACCATAACTAGGAAAAGACAACTCTTCCAGTGTAATGAAAAGTAACATTTTCTTTTGTACGTTGGTGACTAGGTAGCATGGGCATTGTGCTAGATTTTCTGTAAATAGCTGTTTGCTTCTCTAAAATAATTACTCTTGGTCTTGTTTCTGCCTCACTGAGGTGTGCTCTGTGCAGAAGTTCTTTGTGTCTGTAGAAAAATACTTCAGAAGCAGTTTAGAGGCAAGAGAAAGAGCTCCTCATTTCCACATCTTGTTTAGAAAATGCCCAGCCTTACATTTAGTAAATTCTTTCTTACTTTGTGATTTTATAAGCAGAATTTGGCTGACTACTTTAGTGAGGACTTGCAGAATCTATCATACATAATTTTCTTGGAAATAGCTGTAGACTACCGGTTCTTCAGCTAATTAACACAGGTTTGTCCTTCTTCCTGCAGCTATCCAGTTAGGCCGCAGAGAAATCTCCAATGCAATAAGAAATGTGGGGATGATGGAGAGGTCGTGCTATTGAAAGTAACTTCTTTGTTTTTGTGTTTATTTGTATTTGAGATGGGCTGCATCTTCCATATGACTTCTTTCATTCTCTTGCCAAAAGGGAGCAATAATACATTTCAGTTTTTACTTTTCAAAAAATGCGTGCCATTCTCCTTTTAAATGTCCGCAACATTCCAGACCTAGGATATTTTTTCCCTTATGTGTAAGGATAGGTTGACAAATACTATTTATTGTGCTCTGGATTGTTTTCTCGTTAAAAAATACAATTCCATGTGAGACTGTTAAATTACATACATCATTTTTCATTATCATCATTTCAGAATTATAAAGTAAGGAAGAATCATAAAGGTTGACAAAGACTTATAGCTCATAGCACCCGTCTCCATGTAAGATGATGATTGCTCCTACAGTCTATAGCAGTACTTGGAAATCTTTAGGGCACCACATCTGCAGCATCTCTTAGGTTTTCTACATGCTGTACATGATCTTCACGTGTGGGAAACAGTCCTGCTTTGAAGTGTCAGAGATTTTTGTAATGATTGTTTTAAAAATTGCTGCGTGTTGTTAGCTGCAGTGGTAACAAAGCCAAAAGAAACACCCAGAAGCCCCCTCCAAAAAAACACAACCAGTAACAGAGTGAGTGGCAGCCCTTTCCCAGCAAAAAATGTAGTCAGAATAGCAGAAGTGTTAGAATTATACCATTGTGGAATACACGACAAGAAGATATGTAGAGATATGCAGAGGAATATTTATACAGTCTTTTCTCACTCAAACTATGAATGATATCATTCTCAGGTGGATTCTGTGGCATGCAACTTGCTTATAAGTTTACCTTGGACAGCATACAATATCTCACTGAATTCACCAGTTTCTCTTTATAATATTTGGATACTCTCCTAAAATAGGACTTAAAGATCTTGCCTTCATGAACACTAATTTTCCTCAAGATTTTTCTTTTTGAAGAAAAAAAGAAAAAATTACATTAATGAAATATTCAACCCCAAATCTCCTTGTTGCAGTTTCAGATTATTAAAATCAAGTACAGTTACTACAAAGATAATAAAGATTTTAATTATAAATTAACATTAACTGGAATGTTGAAGTTTGAGTAGGTTATATCATTTGGACTTAATGGCTCAAATCCCAGGCTGCTGGTAGAGAACATACAAGGCATCTTGGTTGAAGGGTTTTCACAGATGTCTTGTAACATTTCTTAACAAGCTGCTCCTCCCATTAATAAATCCAGAGTATTGTACGTCTCTGTTAAACCCTCAAAATGAACCATTTCTTTTAACATTTTGCAAGAGTAGCTTTCATTCTGGGATTTAAAAAACAGTGGATAGGTTCAGAGGGCTGGAAATCTTTATAGTTCTTATTTTTGCATTGTCTTTAGATTGCTTCACTGAAGTCAGAGATTTGAACCCAGTTCTTAACTGAACCAAACACGTAACATCAAGCTGTCTGAAATCTGATTGGATTTTGTAACTCTATCATGGAAATCTGTTGCCTAACTTGACCCCCACATTTTTGATGATGCTTTTTACAAACACCCGTGCAATTGAGGTAAGTGTAGAATGAAGTTCAAACTTATTTCTCTGTAAGTAATGTGTGTGCCCTCTGAAAGAAGTTCTGTAGTCCTGATTCCAGTCAGAAGTCAAAACAGATACAACTAGTGAAGCCTCAAACTGCATTCACTTTTCTAGGAATATTGAATGGCACTGTTTTGGTAGTGGTACTGGCCCATCATCTCTGCTTAATCCTAGAAGACTCCAATGTAGATCTAAACTCAGTGGAGTTTGCATCAAAAAAGGCTGTCCCGTGCTCCCATGCTTGGTATGGTCTTGGCATATGAAATTTCCCTGTTTGAAAAGGGAAACCTGTCCATAGTACTTCAACATGATATCAAAATGAACAGTTTACTCTCTCAAGGATGTTTAACTCACTTCTGATGTGCCAGAATGAATCTATTCATGAAGTATTTTCTGGTTATAATTGTTTTGCTCCTCTATATGAGGAAATTTTCAATGAAGGTTTTAATTATTTATGACTGCCAAAAATGTAACTCATCAAAATTGAAAATATATGTATTTCCTGTAGCTCTTGTGCCAGGAAAATCTTTCATTGACGCTATGTGGTTGACTAGAAGAGAAAATCGGATGCATTTCTTTGGACAATTAGAAAAATGAGATTCTGTTGCATTTAGAAATTGAAGTTTTTCTAAGGAAGTCACTTTATAGAGCAGATACAGTGCACCTTTGTGCCTATATTTGAGAATTCACTACACTGAAGTAGGCTGCATCACAATATATGCCATCCTTACGATGATGCAAATATGTACTTCCACTGGAAATGCAGTGTTGTATGTAAGCCGTTTGACTTTCCAAACTTCAGAGATACATCAGTTTTCACTAGAAGAAGTGTAGCACTTGGGAGAGTCCAGTAATACTTCCATTTAAACTGAAATTGTTTTTCCTATTAATATTACAGAGTAAAATCCTGAACACTGAATCAGCGGTGTGAAACACTGAACTGTTGCTGTTTTGTTTCAGAAGGTAATTTATACTGTGTTACACTTCAGTCTATTATGCTCAGAATATGAATTTTTACAGTCTATTGCTAGTGTATTTTAGTCTTGGTTATTTCCAATCTGCAGAAAATCTTTAACCTTCACACAGATGCGTGCTCTGTGTATGGTATAGCTTCCTCAACACAAAGGCCACAAGTGTCTCAACAGACGCTTTTCTGAAGGCTCCCTGGAGACTAATATTGGGTGCTTGCTTTGGTGCTTGCTCTCAGGACCTTTACAGCACCTATCCCTATGGATAACAGCTTCTTGGGTCAGGAAGAGAGCAGCAACAGCTCTTCATATTTTTAGTAGGAAAATCTTGATGTGAGGATGCTTCAGCATATAAATCTTTGTGCAGTGAAGCCTTAATGTCCTGAAATGGGTATGAAGACTTCGGGAAGTAACTCTGTATGCATGTAGGCAGTGAAGCGTGACCAGTGCCTGAAGATTTATGCGCTGAAGCGAAACCTCTGGGGATATCTCAGACCTCTGAACAACCAAGTATTTCCATTACTCAGATCGTGGCTAATCAAGGTATGGTTACCTTGAAGTATGCAAATTGTTCAGCCAAAAGGTCAAAATTTGATAGAGTCCCAAAAAAGAGGTTGGCATCTGGTATGTAGATTCAAACTCTTGTCTGAATCCCAACATCAACAGCAAATTTTAAGGAGCCAAATTTTATGCTCCCTCTTCTCAAACACAATCAAGTGTGTATCAAGCATTGCATCAGCTTGATATTGATTTTTCTCTTTTAATCTGCTTAGCTGATGAAACTAGGGCTGTGTCCCTTATGTAGAACAAATGACAAACAGTAGCCTGCTGAAGGTTGGCTGTACCTTTTCCATGGACAGATGAAGAGAGAGATTTTTGTTATACTGGAATGGCACGAAAATAAAACCAGCATTTTATTTACTAATAGAATAAGTAGTGCTGCAGGCATCACTGAATGTTTTACGAGGAAACTGAATCTGGAGGTTATGTGAATTTTAATGTTCTGCGTAGACTGAAGGTCATAAATGGCTAAATGTTTTTTTTTGTGGGTTTTTTTTTTTTTTCTGTTAATTATCTAGTTGTGTTATGCAGATTCTAACAAAAAATTCAATACCCTTACAGGCAAATGTTACTTGTGCTGTCAGCTCCTAGATATTTTCTTTTAAATTTTTGTTTTCTTTTTGTTGGTGTAAGGGTGAGTTGGAGAATTGCTTCTGTTCAGTAACACTGTCTTCCAAAGCTAATGTCATGATATTAAATGGCTGTTTTCACTCATTCTAATATTCTCAGTATACTAAACAGTTTCTGATGCTTTCTAGAAACACTCTGTGCATCTCAGAGATCTTTTGGCTCATAAAGTAAATCGCTCTGTGAAGGTACAGTGTTATTTGCAGCTTCTCTAATTCAGTTTTAAAATTATTCTGAAATTTCTCTAAAGGCTCACATCAGTGCTACCCAGATCAATAAAAACTTTCTGACTGAGACAAGTGGATATAGACTATTAAATATACATTGACTATACCAAATTAAAATTACTGTAGTGTCCCATTATTGTTATTTATTGATGAGCATATCAAATATGTTTTTCTTGCTTTGTCTCCCACTTCTCTCACCCGGCATGTGTTTTAAACCAAAGAATCTCAGGTACAGTATATATCAAAAGGACATATATATTTCTGCTATTACATTGTATATTCTGCTTCCTATGTAAAAAAACAAATATGAATTTTGCATTTGCCCTACATAGACTATTTTATTGCTAATGAAAATAGACAGTTGTAAATACTGTGTCCTTTGAATCACTAGTAAGTCTGGTTTTAGTGCTTGTCAGGCAATCTTGTTAAAAGACTAAAGCCAAATTGTCCTTTTTGTGCTAGGCTTGTTTTCTATAAATTGCCAGAAAACAATTTATTCAGTCTGTCTTTTTTCCCAGTAATTGATTATGCGGATATTATTTATCATACTGCTGCAAGCACATCTTTGCATAAATTGGATGTGCTTTATCATTCTGTGCTACATTGTATTTACAAATGCTCTGTTTTCTGCTCATCATTGATGACTTTATTCCATGGTAAACTTGTCTTCATTAGAAGGGCTTAAGCATTAACGTTCATTTATCAGCAAGGGAATTTGGAGAAAAGCCCCATCATGTTTTCTACCTTCAGCAAATTCTTTTCCTCAACAAATCTGCTTTCAAATCCAATAGCTGTTTTTCTGACTATGAAAATTCAATAAATGGGAAGAATGATTTTCCTCTTAGCATCGCCACCTTGTAGGTATTTCTTTTTAACTGGTATTTAAGTATACAAGTCATTTTAGTTCTACAGTTGAAATAAAAGAGCCAATACAATATCAAACTGCAGCATATCTGGGAATTAATCTTGAGTCTTAATGATTTCTTTCATCAGGTTATCTCTGTTAAAAGAGAAATAAATTGTCAGATTAGGAATTTATTTGGGTAAAGGAAGAACTGACTGGATATCTACCCTGCTGATTGCCTTTCTCCTAGTCATGAATGTGGACTGTAAATGATGTTTCAGAATTTAACAGAGTCCAGAGAATGCATTCATTTTCAGCCATAGAAAAAATATTCCCCTTTACAGCCTTTTTCTCCACGGCTAAGATAATAGTATTTTGTCATTGCTTTACTGAGGTGTAATTGCAGTAATTCATCTGCAGTCAAAAACTTCCAGGTTTGAAAATCTTATTTCTTTTTGCACAGGCATAAATACTATGTTAAAACGTAAAAGCTGACATAAGTGTAAGGACTCAACTTCCTATTGAGTGCTAAGTATTTCCTACTTCCACTGAAATTAGCAGCATGGGAAAGTGTTCATAAACTCAAATTTAAGCTCCAAAATATTAAATCATGGTCCTCTACTGCTTCTTTCTGCATGATAATGGAAATCCCAGCTGCAGTCTCTTTTGCTTGAGAGAAAGAATGTTCAATGCCAGCACAATTCTACTTCTTTACCCAGTACCAAGTCTGAGGGGAAGTAACAGGAGAATTGATGTGTTATTTTTTATGTTGAAGTATTACGGCTATTTTTGGCTATATGACACCTCTTGTATGAAAGCAGTGAGGATGAAATGGATCTCCCTATCCTGATCATTGAAGCCTGATGTGCACACATGTATGTATGAGATAAGGATGTCTTGATTTCAGAAGTGTAGCCTCAAAAGATAATAGAATGGCCATCCAGCATCCTATCCCATTGTAGCAAGCAGTTGTATAGCTATCTCTCTTTGAATAATAAGGCTTGAGCAGTTATGCCCTCTCTGACATTTTGTACATTCAAATGAGACATCACTTGGTTAGCTGGTTTGAGAAGCTGTCTTAATTCACCGTGTGCATTGTGTGTGGAACTTTTCTAAAATTCTTTTCTTACAGACCTCTCCAATCACCTTTCAGTCTTGCTCGTGTATGTGTGCATTTGGCTGTTAACTGGCATTTATTTGCAGGGCCTTGGAGAATCCGCAGTCATCTTGAGCTTCTCTTTATGAGGAGAACATACTCCAAGACATAAACAATGAGATATTTATAAGTCACCTTTAAAGTAACAATCACAGTTGCAGAATGAATATAGTTTATACAGATTTAAGTATAGATATTTGTGATATAGATAGGAAATATCTGTATATATAGCTATTGTACTTTCTTTGGTTTCTTCCATGTCCAATAGGATGTTTACACATGCTTCTTTTTATAAGAATGATGTTTTCTTTCTTTTGTTTTGTGCTCAGTTGCTCTTGTTGCAGGGCTCTGATGATGTTTCTGTTAATTTCCCGTTCCATATCAAGATATACTTCTTCTCATATGAATACAGAACCTATTAAACTCTGGTTCCTACAGGCACTAATTTCTTGTTTGAATGTTCACAGAAACTAAAAGGGGCCCAAGCAGCTCTGAAATGAATGAAGATTGGAATTTCAGCAGCCATTCACTGAATATTTTTTTCTTTCAAGGTTTTCAGTTCTTCCAATGGTAAATGACTCACCTAACTCAAGATTTGTAAAGTACTATCTGGACTGTATTGCTAACTGCAAGTCACTGTACAGACTCATCATTCATACAACAAAAAAAGAAGCCCCCAAGCATACCTCATCTATTTGCATTCCCTTCCTCAGTGCTTGCTTTATTTCCAAAACTGGAACAAATAGAGACTGCTCAGTAATAATCACCTGAGGCCCTTTCAGCCTTAGCCAGGTGGCAGAAGACGTCCCTCACCCTTATCCTATGAGATTTTCTTTTGCACCAATATGCTCGTTCTTTTTGTGTCATCACAAACACCATTATTAGTCCAGTCACTCCTTGCATGCCAAATTGGCTTCAGCTCACAGTGGCACACTTGTAATCCATTTGTTCCATTTTACCATGTGTTCATAAATGTAAACTAGATATTTGAAAAAAACGAGACCACTAAAAAGAATCAATGAGACTAGAGCCTTTCAGAACGTGAAACTCCAAGAACTATTGTTGAGTGAGAATGTGGTAATTGAGAAATCTGCTGGGAAATAGTGATAATTGGAGTTAAGCTTGCCTAGATTCATTGACATATTGCTAATTACAATGATTCTGAATTGCAAGAGTATTTGCTTGTTGTTTTAAAGATATCTAGTATGTTATTATAATATCATTTGTGTTCATCGTACCACACCAGAAGTAAATGAAGTTAAGTTTTAATAATTTCTGGATAATATCCAACTAGAGAAAAAAGTATGTACATGTTTACATGTTTGTTTATAATTATGAAAGGCCTGAGATATGCAGAATACTAAATACGGAATGTAAGTTGTTTGTTTGTTTTTTTCCTGTGTGCATGTGAATCTTTTGAATATTTATAAACTAACGCAAAAGGAATGTTTAAACTCAATTTGCATACTTCTGCCAGCTTCTCCTTCTCAACAAGAAGCAGTGCTTGGAAGAGCCAGATCCTGTGTCCAGAAATGTACTTTCACTGAGTAGAGGAGTTTAGGCATTCAAACTACATTAAATGGGTGGAAAAGATTTTACAATTAGCAAACAAATCTCCTGCTACCACAGGCAGCTGAGACTGGTTTCCTTCAGAGCATTATTTCTCCAAACTAAGAGGGAGAGGGGGAGTTTGAGGAGAGGGCATTCATGTCTATAAGAGGTATTTACTGCTCTTCCATTCCTATAGTCTCTGCTTCTGGATAGTCATTTTTATTTTTTGCTGACTCCATAGCAATCTGGAATTTAGAATTGGTGAAAAGATGGTCATAAGCCTCTCCAGGAGACTTATGAATTAAAACCCACTGGGAAACTTATATTTCCCTAAATGCTTACTTTCTTCTTGGGAAGAAGTAACTTGTTGCAGTATTTTGGAAATAGTTGATGGATTATGCAAGTGGCTCTAGGGCAGTGCTACATTGTTGGTCAATTAGACAGCAGTATACAGCCTGCACAAATCAAATTATCTTGTGGTCTTATGTACCTCTGTACCAGCTGAGCAAATATTACAGAGACTGAACTTACGGTCTAATTTTTTCCAACAAACTATTTTCATTGAGCCGGAAGGTCACTGCTGAACAGGCTTATGACAGTGTGATATGAGTGTGCTGTAAATAAAAGCCAATAGCTTTCGAGATAGGTAAACTAGAGTGGACGATTTTGTGATAATCTACTGCCAGTACAACGTGTAAAATCTGACACCATTGTACTTAGCAGCAGCAGTTTAATTGTCTCTGTAAGAGGGAAAAGTCCACAGACAAAAAAACCCCTATTCTGAAATAAAGCCTCTGGATATGGAAATCTAAGGAAATATTAATATTAGGAAGAAAAATTATGCCTGAATAAAAGATTAAGACAATGAGAAAAAATAAGCTGAAAAATCTTGCTAACTAGCCAAAAAGAATCATAGAATGGCCTGGGTTGAAAAGGACCACCATGCTCATCTAGTTTCAACCCCCTTGCCATGGGCAGGGTTGTCAACCACCAGGCTGCCCAGAGCTACATCCAGCCTTGTCTTGAAGGGAAATACATGGCTCTTACTGCCATGAACCATTTAAGTCATGCTTTCAGAGCCCAACTCTGTTGAAGACATTAAGAAAAGCCTCACAGACTAAATCAGTTCTTTCCTATCAATCTGCAAACTAGAAGTCCTCCTGTCTTTTTTTTTTCTTTTTTTTACCCGTTCAGCTGATTTTCTGTCCTTTTCAGAAATGCCTTCAACAATTTTATCAGTAGAGAAAATGGAAACTATGCTACTCACATGTGCCTCCCAAAGTGAAAGTGGAAGGGGGAAGACTCTGGGGCTGATACAACTTAATCAGCTTTTGAGTTTCTTGATTGAACAGTTCTGTCAGTAAGATGGTTCTGGGACCTGAGAACTGCCAAACAGTAATGGTTGTCTGGCTTTGCCATTCCCACCATCTCCCTGCGCAGGGAAAGAGAAAGTTTAGAGGAGGATTCAAAAGATCAGTTGATATTACATTGCAATGCTAACTGTATAACAAGGCCTCCTAGGCACTGGGTTCATTTTATGGTTATAATTATTTTGTTCATTATATTACCTGTACTACAGCGTATGAAACACAGCATATGCCTGAGATGGTGGCTTAGCAGGATCTGAGTTGCCAGTATGTTCATTGCCACTAAATTTAACCTTTGTTGGAAATCTTGTCAAAATGTAGCACCTGGATTAAATGTTTTGAAAATGAGACTGGGATCACATAAGAGTAGTTGGCCTATTGATTTAAACAGGATACCAGTCAGGTGCTGTGGTGGCAGATTAAGGACATTTTGACAAGGCAAGAAAAAAAGTAGATGAGGAAAATAATAAAATGTAGAAAATATGCCGTAAAGCAGACATCCTCCTGTTGTCCTGTGATAATAATACCATGGAGTCCACAGGTAAATTTTCACACAGTCTTCCTGGCAAACATGGAACCCATAATGGATAGGTGCTCAAAGTGTAGGTTTCAAAATATAGCGGGAGACATGTGCAACATACTGGGGAGCCTGGCCCCCTCTGCACCATTCCAGAGTCTCTGATGTGTTTTGGAACTCTATGGATTCACTCAGGTACAAGACAAAAGGCTACAGTTTTCTGACAAGTTCTGAGACCAACATCAAGCAACAAGGAGTCCTCCCAAGGGACTGTGTGGCAGAGACTGAATCTCTGGTGAACACCATCTTGCAGTTACAGTTTTAATGAAAATTGAAAGCTTAAGTGCCACCATTTTCAGTATCACTTTTCCCTAAAATGATTTATTGACCACTTATACATGATACATTCTCCTGTCATGAATAACACACTATATATTTATTTTCCTGAATAATGGCTCCCATTTTAATTGATAGCTTCAGACAGAGAAGTAGATTTATTTCTACAATGAGTAAAACTGCTCTCAAAATACAGCCTGTATAAATTATTTTAGTATGTATTTCAGTTTTTGCAATCCAGTATGATCCTAATCTTAACAGAAATCAATCAAATAAGATCTGATACATTACTAAACAGCAGCCTTTATAAAGTACACTGAGACAGTTTTCTACAGTGTTTTTAAAATTTGTGTTAAATGGTGTTGCCAGTAGTTTTCACTGAACCAAGAAGCTTTTGACTTGGCTGATATATATGTCTGTAAGATGTCTGTTTTATTCTCTGTTGGCTTATTTGTCTTTTACAGACACAATACCTGTATAAATACAGCACCTCACTATTTCTCTTCTCTTCTCTTCTCTTCTCTTCTCTTCTCTTCTCTTCTCTT